ACAACTGATTGGTTCAAGATCGCGAGAGGAGTATGACAGGGCTGTCTGCTGTCACCCTGCTGGTTTAATCTATACACTGAGCACATCATGAGACATGCCAGGCTGGATGAGTCACAAGCTGGAATCAAGATAGGTGAGAGAAACAACAGCAACCTCAGATATGCAGATAATGCCACTCTNACAACTGATTGGTTCAAGATCGCGAGAGAGTATGACAGGGCTGTCTGCTGTCACCCTGCTGGTTTAATCTATACACTGAGCACATCATGAGACATGCCAGGCTGGATGAGTCACAAGCTGGAATCAAGATAGGTGAGAGAAACAACAGCAACCTCAGATATGCAGATAATGCCACTCTAATGGCAGAAATTGAAAAAGAACTAAAGAGCCTCTTGATAAGGGTGAAGGAGGACAGTGAAAGAGCCAGCTTAAGACTAAATATCAAGAAAATCTAAGACTATGGGCTTACACCAGGTAAGCTGGGCCTGAAATTCTCTGAGTATTTTTTTAATAGACTTCAGGTTAGGGGAGCAGGAAAGGTTAGTAAGGGGGAAGGAGATGCAGCGGGGCTTCCCAGGTGGCTCCATGGTAAAGAATCCACCTGGCAATGCAGGAGACGAGGGTTCGATCCCAAGGTCAGGAAGAACCCCCAGAGGAAGAAATGGCAATGCACTCCAGTATTCTTGCTTGGAAAATTCCATGGACAGACGAGCCTGGTGGGCTATAGTCCATGGGGTCACAAATAGTCAGGACATCCGGTCCCATTACTGCATGGCAAATAGAAGGGGGAAAGGTGGAAGTAGTGACAGATTTCCTCTTCTTGGGCTCCAAAGTCACTACAGACAGTGACTGCAGCCATGAAATCAGAAGACAGTTGCTTCTTGGCAGGAAAGTGATGACAAACCTAAACAGTATGTAGAAAAGCAGAGACATTACTCTGCTGACAAAGGTCTGTATAATCAAGGCTATGGTGTTCCTAGTGTCATGCACGGTTGTGAGAGCTGGACTGTAAAGAAGGCAGAATGCCAAAGAATTGATGCCTTCAAACTGTGGTGATAGAGGAGACTCCTGAAAGTCCCTTGGACAGCAAGGAGATCAAGCCAGTCAATCTTAAGGGAGATCAAACTGGAATATTCAATGGAAGGACTGACGCTGAAGCTGAAGCTCCAGCATTTTGGTCATTGGATATAAACAGATGACTCATTGGAAAAGTCCTGGTGCTGGAAAAGATCGAGGGCAGAAGGAGAAGAGGGTGGCAGAGGAGGAGATGACAGGAGGGCATCACCAATGCAATGAACATGACCTTGGGCAAACTCTGGGATATGGTGAGGGCCAGGGAGGCCTGGCGTGCTGTAGTTCATGGGGTCGCAGAGTAAGACACAACTGGGCAACTGAACAACACCAACTGCATCTCCACGAGTGTGTGCATGCACGCTTAGCTGCTCAGTCGTGCCTGACTCTTTGTGACCCCATGGACTGTGGCCTGCCAGGCTCCTCTATCCATGGAATTCTCCAGGCAAGAATACTGGAGTGGATTGGCATTTCCTCCCCCAGGGGATCTTCCCGACCCAGGGATCAAGCCCATGTCTCCTGCATTGGCAGGGGGATTCTTTACCACTGAGCCACCTGGGAAGCCCCATTGCGTCTCCGTGTTCCCCCCACTAACCTTTCCTGCTCTCCTAACTAGAAGTCTACTAAAAAATAAACTTAGAGAATTTCAGACCCAGGTATGAGGCAGCTTTGGGGTCAACCTGGCGTACACCCCACTTCTATCACTCTGGGCTTCAGAGCTCTCATCTTTGAAACGTATGTAGGAGATTAAATGATTTAATGCAGTTAATCTGGATAATAACGCCTTTCAGACAAAACACCATCACCCAGTTTTACAGATTAAGACCTTGACTCCAAGAGGAGTGAATTGTTGGGGGCAGCACAGTCAGAGAGTGCCATTCAGAACTTGAACTTCAGACCAGCATACAAGTCCACACTCTTGAACAGCATATTACACAGAATCCCAGGCTCTCTGCTACCCCAACAAGATGCCCCTAATCCATGTGCTGAGTGACAAAAATTATCCTATTGTTTTCCAGAAGGAAGGTTCCCCCAAATAGCGAATATCCTTGAATTTATCTCGTTCTGTCTTCCGGCTCCTTGGGAGGCCTCTAAATTCGTATCTAACACAGTCTTCTGAGTCCCAGCTGGTTTGAGACACTGTGAATCGTGATGTTGGGCATATGGAAACAAATGCCTTCTACCCAAAGCATCATCTTTCAATTACAGATCACTCTGCCCATTTGGAAGCGCTTCCCTTTGGATGCAGACATCTCGCAGTCTGGTTAGAAGTGGGAAGGAACAGAGAGAAGGGACATGGAGGGAGAGAGATGGGAGGACATTGAGACCGGGGGGGCGGGGGTGGGGGCGGAGAGGAGAAAGACAGTGGAAGCGTCCATTTGAAGAGACGATGCTCATCTTGTTCATGGCCCGTGCAGCACAGTCTCGGGGCCCAGTTCCCCTGGTGTGCAGGCTGGCACCCAGGAAGGTGGCGCTGGAGTTGTGGAATATGGTGGCACAGACACAGTGCAATTCACTTTTTTTTTAAAACCATGGATGAAATCAAGGTAGAAGTTAAGTGGCTTCTCCAACCAGTTGGCAAGGTAGCGGCAGAATCTGGATCTCTGACTTCTAACTGTTGTTCTGTAGTAGACGGAGGGTTAGGGATCCAAAAACAAAAAAAAACAACCTGGAGGTACAGACTAAGGGGATTTTGCAGGGAAGACAAAAGAGCCTTAAGATGTGAAAGAAGGAAAAAGAGAAGAAGAAGGAATAGAGAGATGGAAGTAAAACAAGACATCTATGAAGGAGAAGAAAAGAGAGGAGGAACATGAAGATAAGGCATGAGAGGTGTGAGGAAAGAGAAAAAGGCAAAGACAATACAGCGCGGGAAAAGTTCAAACACAGGCGCTTGCAGAAATCAGAGACTGGAGTTAGGCAACGTTGGTCACTGGCCATGCAGACGCTTCAGCGCGCACTCATGCTTGTATCCAGCTCCTTCCCCAGGCCCCCAGCCCTCTCCCGTTGAACTTGGTTGATCTCCCCCACCCACTCCTGTGTCCCTCTCAGCTTTCTGCCTCCAGGAGCACCGTGGGCCTTGACCGCCACTTCTCTCCACCCCACTCCTGGATATCGCTAGGTTCATTTCCCCTAATCTTCTAAGCTCTCCTCTCCCTTAAAACCTCTCCTCTCTGCTCTTCCTATCATCCACCTTCCACTCCAGACACGGTCGGAAGGCTCTCTTCTGCGTTCCTCTAACACCCCAGGAACCGCCATCGTGTTATGTATCACATGGACTTTATATCTCAGTGTTAACGGTATCCTGCTTCCCCCAGCAGACTAAATTTCCCAGGGCCAGGAACGAGGTTGGATCCGTCTTCTGTCTCCAGCACCTACCACAGGGTAAAGCATGCCTTGCATACCCAGCGCAGGGTNCTAAATTTCCCAGGGCCAGGAACGAGGTTGGATCCGTCCTCTGTCTCCAGCACCTACCACAGGGTAAAGCATGCCTTGCATACCCAGCGCAGGGTATGTGTGTGACTAATGAATGCATGGTGCTTCCCTGGTGGGCTCAGAGGTTAAAGCGTCTGCCTGCAATGCAGGAGACCTGGGTTCGATCCCTGGGTCGGGAAGATCCCCTGGAGAAGGAAATGGATGCATGCTTGGACAAAATGCTCCTGCTCCCAGTGAGGAAAAAAAAGTCTACAACCACTGGGGGGCGAACTTGGGTAACTCCAGCAAAAGACCCTGGGGGAGGGGATAGAATTCCTCTCCATCGAACACCTCTGAGAAACAAAGGCAAGGGCAATTTGAAACCGGAGGAAGCCCTCCAGACTTCACCAGGCGAGGCTGCGAATGGAACAGAGCCTGCCCTGGTGGATTAAAGACTAAAATGAAAGTCTGAAGAACTGGACTCGAGTCCGTGGAGCTGGTGAGCTCTATGGCTTAGGGCACTATTCATCACTGAAGGGCCAGAGCTCACACCACACCAGCCCGGATGAGGCCATTATCACCCACCAGGAAAAACAGAATGAGTAACAAAGCTTCTGATCTATGGGGGGGGTGGGGGGGGAGAAAAAAGAAAAACCTTAACAATATAGGGAGTGGGGTTGTCCGGGATTCTTATTCTAATTGGGAACATTTACTGCACACCTACTACGTCAAACATGATTCCAGACACTAGGAATACAGGTGTGAGCAAGTCACTGCTCCCGGTCGACACTCAAGAGGGGAGCAGAGACATACAGGACCAACCATGATTTTAAAGAAGCGACAAGGACCAGATGGTAAGAGAGACATAGGTAATGTGCCATGGGGACGCTCTGTCTGGAGGGATCAGGGTGAGCACTCAGGAGCGGATGACATTTATTCCAATCAGGCCTAGCAGGACAGTCTGGCTTTATCGGATTGAGCGGGGTTGACAACGCACTCTAGGCTCACCGAACTGCACCAGCAAACAGTAGCAGGTGAAGACATGCAGGGTGTGCTTGCGGGTGTCTGGGCAGAAGACAGAATGGAATCCTCAGCTAGAGTGGTCACTCTGGCTAAAACTAACAACAGGTAACAGGCGGCTTAAACAGTAAAGAATCTGCCTGCAATGCAGGAGACCTGGGTTCGACCCCTGGGTCAGGAAGATCCCTCTAAATTTCCCAGGGCCAGGAACGAGGTTGGATCCGTCTTCTGTCTCCAGCACCTACCACAGGGTAAAGCATGCCTTGCATACCCAGCGCAGGGTGTGTGTGTGACTAATGAATGCATGGTGCTTCCCTGGTGGGCTCAGAGGTTAAAGCGTCTGCCTGCAATGCAGGAGACCTGGGTTCGACCCCTGGGTAAGGAAGATCCCCTGGAGACAGGTACGGCTACACACTCCAGTATTCTTGGCTGGACGATTCCATGATCATAGGAGCCTGGTAGGTTACAGTTCATGGGGTCTCAAAGAGTTGGAAACACAACCAAGCAACTAACACTTTCAATGGCAATCAGAACAGGAAAGGAAGGAAGGAAAAAGGGTGGGTGGGGATAGCTGCAGCTGCAGGGACAGGATGATAAAGCAGAATGCCGGAGATGACGCTAAGGGCTGCATACACAGTGTCTCAGTGAGTCCCGCATATGTATACACACACACATGTATACCTATCTGTGAATATGTAGTTTTTAATTTCTAGTTCATAAGTGAAGAACATGAAACACAGAGGGGTTGAGTAACATATTTAAGGTGAGGAAACAGCAGAGCCAGGATCTACACTCAGGCTGTCCATCTCCAAAGTCAGGGCTTCCCACGCCTGCTACACCGCACCCCACAACAGGCTAAGAAGTGGAGAAGTGATTACGAAGGCCAAGAGGGCACTGCCACAGGTATATGAGGGAATGACATGATTCAACAGATGCTTGCAAAAGATGACTTTGGTGTCATGCGTACCCCATCAGCTTTGGGCAATCCCTACTTCCTTATTTTCTAATGAAGCCCCTTCTGGGTTGAGTAGGGGCGGACTTGGTCCATTTGTAGCAGTCCCCAAGTGTCCCAGAGGAGCTCTGGATTGAGCCCAGAGCTCCATCCCTCTGACAAAGGCTCCAGCCTCCCGCAGCCCCCGGGGGTGATTTATCAGAGCAGCGTCAACGCCTCTGCTCAGCAGCCTGTGATCCAAGGCTGGCAGCCCGGGCTGGGGTTTTTAATTAGCTGAGAGAGGGAAGAGTCAGGCCCTCTAGGATGGAGAGAAAGAGAGACACCAAGACGGCTCATAAATCCAGATCCAAGGATCCAGCGGCTGGCGTCTGGTGGGGGCAGAGAGGAGGGAAAGGAACAGACTGACTGGCTAGCTTTTCAGCTTTTTCATGGTCTCCTTTGCTTTCTGGTTCAGATACTGCAGGGGGTGGGGTGGGAAACTGTGCCGCCTTTTCCACAGCAATCCCTGGGGAGGCACCCTTTTCTAGCTTGGCTGTATGACCAAAAACCAGGGACCCTCATGTCTGGTTCCATCTCTACAGCTCGCTTGCTGTGCAGTTTGAGACCAAAACTACACAGACGCTTGCAGGCTTTGGAGTTAGATGTGAGCTGAAATCTCTGCTCTGTGATGCTTATTTAAACTGTGACTTGAGCGAACTGATTTTTTTCTCTCTGGATTTCAATTTCCTCACCTACAAAGGCAGAAGAAGATCTTGCGTTGCAAAGACTAATTGAGAACACAGGTAAAGTGCTCGGCCCTAATGGATGCTCAATAAATGACAGCTCTTTTAAAATGCATTTTCTTCTCCCTTGGCCTCAGTTTTCCCATATGTAAAAGGCAAAGTTGTGCCACATGACTTATAAGGGCTTTACTAGCACCGATTTCTTCTGGGTATTCTTATGTGGATGTGTGTGTGTGCTCAGTCGTTCAGTCGTGTCTCTTTGTGACCCTATGAACTGTAGCTCACCAGGCTTCTCTGTCCTTGGAATTTTCCAGGTGAGAGTACTGAAGCAGGTTGTCATTTCCTCCTGCAGGGGATCTTCCCAACCCAAGGATGGAACCTGCATCTCCTGCATTGATAGCTGGCTTCTCTACCACTGAACCACTTGGGATGCAAGGAAAACAATCCAAATCTGGGCAGGAGGGAGCGTGTTCAGCAAGGAGGTTGCAAATCTACTCCTTGCAGGGGTCCAGGGGCAGGGCTGGCGCTAAGGTAAGGAAGAAATCTTCAGCGAGGCATATTTCATGCCAGTGAAGCAAGACAGTTCTGAGAGTCAGAGCCACTGGCTGCCTCCATAGTGAGTGAGCTCCCTGCATCCAGAGAGAAGAAGCAAAAGTTGGCCAACAGTCTGGAGCTGATGTTCTGAAAGAAATTTAAACATCAGATGTAGGGGAGGGACCAGAACTTTTCCTTTAAGTTCCTTACCTGCACTGAAAACATCATGGCATAATGCTTGGCGGTATATAAACTTATTGCATTGTTCATCATTTAACTCTCACAACCCAGTGGGCAGGGAGGATTAGCACCCACACCTCCAGACAGGACACTTGAGATGCAGAGAGTGAAGTCACTTGCTCAAGGTTGCACCCACACAGAGAGAGGCAGAGCAAGGCCAAGAGCTCTGGTGAATCTGACTCTCAAGAGATGCAGAGAGTGAAGTCACTTGCTCAAGGTTGCACCCACACAGAGAGGCAGAGCAAGGCCAAGAGCTCTGGTGAATCTGACTCTCCAGCCTCTCTCTTTTTGTTTCACAGCTGGGTTCCCATCTCTGATTCCACAACGGATGGCAGCCCCGGCCTAGCTAATATTGATTGCAGCTGTCCCTTCCTTCCTCCCCAGCCCCTGTCTCTGTCCCCCAACTGCTCCCCCACAAGTATTTACGCTGGGCTGCCTGGTAACAAACGGCTCGTTACCATGCGGAAGGCGACAGCCGGGCGATTAGTGAAATTTGTTACCCATGCGTCTCCGAACAAAATTAAATTAAAAGTGCTGCTTCGCTGTCAAGATAAGGGCCAAGCTGCTGAGATAATTTTTCACTCTCAAACACTCAATTACCCAGTGAGGCTGGATCAGATACAATCAAAGGGGAAAAAAGAAGAAAAAAAAGAAAAACAGAGGCAGGACCTCCAGGAACAGATGTAAGAGTTGTTATCACTCCCTCTGGCCAGAGATGTTAAAGAGGCTGTTGCCATGGTGACAGGGCTGGACCACATGAGGCAGGTAGGTGGGTGTGGCCTCTGACTACATCCTGTAATGAAGGAGATGCTCTCCATCCCCACCGCCCCTGCCTTAAGCCAGACAGTGTCACTTCTTACCTGAATTACTGCAATAGTCTCCTACCTGCTCCCTTTCACCTCATCCCTGTTCCCCTCTTTCCCAGCTTCTACAAAAGCTAGAGTGACCTTTCTACCACACATCAAAACATCACTTCTTTGCTGAAGTCCTTTGATGGTGTCCCATTGTCATCATGATGAAGTCCAAAGCACCCGGCCAGTGTCACCTCTAGCTCTCTGCTCCTGAGAGTTTATATTTCAATGAAACTAAGCAGACGTATCCTTCCTTCCCTTCTTCTTGTTTTCAACAGGAATTATTTTGAGGTCCTACAGTATGCCAGGCATTTTGCTTGATCCCACTCTATTCATCGTCCCTTCCATATGAGTAGTCTTCTCTGACCTTTGTCCCTTCAACAATTCCATCCTGTTTTTCAGAACTCAGCCTAAATATTTCCCATGCCAGCATTTCTGCTGTGTTCCCACCAAGCTGGTCAGGTGCTCTTTCTCTGTGCCATCATGGAATTCATCACCAGCCTTTATCACAGCCCTTTTCATTCTACTGTAATTGCCCATGTGATCCTTTCCCCACTGGACTGTGTGATGCACAGGGCAAAGAGCAGTGTCACTTGCTCGAGGCCCGCAGAGCAGGCTTCCAGTACTAGTCATGTGAACTAAATTCACCTTTGACTTATGTGATGGAACACGTGCTAGAGATCTCCTCTGGAGATGGGCAGAGTCTCTCTTTTCCTTGTTTCCAGTTTCTCTATCAGAAAGAAATCTATTTCTTTAGATCTGTTTCAAGGTTGTTATTTTCTGGACAGCCAGCTTTGATTTTTTGACCCCATGTATCCAACCTCTCACTCTAAACCTTCTCAGCCATTATTAGCACACAACTAATAGTATGTTACCTTACATTTGCTAAAAACAAAACAGAAAGTATTCTTCAATTAGAATCACAGAATGGTAGAGCCAAGAGGACATCATAAAATGATAATCTGTTTGACTGGGGCTTCCTTAGTAGTCCATTGGTTAAGCATCTGTCTGCCAATGCTAGAGGACATAGGTTTGATCCCTGGTCCAAGAACAGCCCATAAGCCACATGTCAGCCAAGCCTGTCCACCACAGCTACTGAGTCCATGCTCAAGAGCCTGCTGCAACTTCTGAGCCCAGCTAGTGGAGCCTGCGCACTCCAGAGACTATGCTCTGGAACACAGAAACCGCCACGGGGGGAAGCCCCTGCATCACAACCAAAGACAGCCCACAGGCAGCAAAGAGGACCAAGCGCAGCTGAAAATAAATAAATAAATCTATGTGATTATTGAAAGGTTATAGGCAGAAATGGAGGCCACTGAATTTGGCGGATCTGGTATTCTCCATTATATCTTGGTCACTCTGCCATACTGAACATGCCTTGAGTGTATGGATCACCAGTCTCATCAACAGAAGAGCTTTGATCAAAACTCAGAGATGCCCAGGTTCCACCTCAAATCTACTAAATAAACCTCTGGGTTGAAACCCAAAGGTAGGTATCTGTTTTAAAAACCCAAACATGTTACCTACATACATAGAGTTGGGAACCACGCTAAAAAAGGAAAGTAACTTTACTCGAAACACCATCCAAGGACAGAGTACAAACAGATCATTCTCATGACCCAGGATCTGTTCCACCTGGATATTTAATTTTGATTCTTCTTTATCCTCTTCACTCTACTCCTTTAGATAAAGATGAATTGTATTCATGCCTCCAGGGATCCCAAGACCAGACACACAGTGGTTTGAATGAATAAGGGGAGAGGGATAGACAACGGTTTCCAAGATTCCAAGTGAACTTTGGAGATGGTCTGGCCTAGTTACTTTATCCTAGTATATAAAGAAGTGGGCAAGTTTATCCATCACCAAGCACTGTGCTGAGTGCTTTACTTGCATTGTTCCATTTCAATCTCAAAACCACTCTTAGAAGAAGGAACTACAATTATGACTTTACAGAACTGAAGAAAACAGAAGCCAGTGGGTTAAATTGATCTTCACAAGATCATTCTGCAAAGATTCACAACCACCTGTTTATTTCTAAAGGACTTAAGCATTGCACACTGGTACAATTACCTCTAGCAAAAACACTCAATTCAAATTCCTTTAGAGAACAGGCAGAGTATTAATGATAAACATTATTCACCCACATATATTTTTTAAATGAACTGTTATGTTTGTCCTCAGAAGTAATCAGTGTGGTTTATGAATTCTGCCCTTCTTAAAAAATCATTCTCAACAATTATCTGGCTGCATAATATTCCATCAAGTTGATGCACTGTAATTTACTTAGCCATTTTCCTATTGTTGGACATTCAGGCTCACTCTAATTTTTCAATATTTAAGATTATGCTACAATGAGTATCTTCAGGTTTAGAGCATCATGAAAAATGAGTAGTGTCATGGAAAAAATATAGTCATAATACAATATTGAGTAAAAAAAAACACAAATGCAAATGTGTATGTTGATTACAGTTGCAATGATGAGAAAAAATATATGCAAATGAGGACAAGAAAAATGAAATAAGCTCTTTGGTCTAAAAGGTTCCTGTTTGTTTTTGTTTTCCTCTACTAGTATTATTACATGATTCTACACTGGTGAAAAATGATTAAAAAAAAACAAAACAAAACAATAAGCATACCATTCCCAATGTTGTTGAAGCATCTCAGTTCCTTTAGCATTTTTACAGTGGAGGGATGAGCTCAGGAGTCAGTGGTATTGACTCTTTCCATGGACAACAGCCAGAGGAGGAGCGTCTCAAAGGCTGGAACCATGTCCTTTTTTATTGGCCAAGCCATATGGCAGACAGTATCTTAGTTCCCTGACCAGGGATTGAACCCACAGCCTCTGTAGTCAAAGCATAGACTCTTAGCCACTGGACCACCAGGGAATTCTCTGAAGCCATGTTTTATTAACAAGTCTTATGTCTTATTAACCTCTGATTTCCAAGAAAGCCATGTTGTCCCTAAAATCTATAATGTGTGTTCAGTGAATCAGAGCATAGCGTTTCAGAGCTTGAGGAGGCCTCAGATATAATTTATTCAAACACTACACCCTAGCTGAATGGATGGAGAGCCAGAGAGACTTGCCCAAGGTTCTCCAGCATCTGAGGGCAAGAACAAGACTTGACCACACTTTCCCCTGAATCTACTCTAATTAGAAGAGACAGATGGTTAGCAAATTTGCTCAACAGAAGCCATGAAGGAAAAGTCCTTTTCCAGGCCAGCATAGAATGGGTTTGACTCTGTGAACCTGAGTTAGTTTCAGATCTCCCCTGAACCCCTGTGTTCCCCAGCCTCTAAGCTGCTCTCATGACAAATGCCTCAGAGCTGGGACATCTGTTTCCTCCCCATAGAGCGCCAGGTGGTTTGATTGTACCTGAGATGCTGAGAGCAGGACATTTTCAAGCTAGAATCCATGACTGAGCAGAACACCCTGGAACTCTTCTGTTTCCAGCCTACATCCCCTCCTAGCACAGCCAATTCCTCTTGCATCTTCATTTACCATCTAGTGGAGCTCTGAATTCTTCAATGACCTGCAAGACTCTCCCATGCCCTATACACTTTCTGCACATCCCCTCTTCTTAAACGTGGTTGGATCTGTAAATATGATGGGATATCACTCCATGATTAAATGATGTTATCTGAGAAAACTGAAAGGATTCTTTTCAGATATAATTAAAGTCCAGAAGCAGCTGACTGAGTTAATCATATAGGAGTTTACCCTGGGTGGGTCTGGCCAAATCAAATGAGTCTAAAGAGATGCTCTCCAGCAGCCCTTGAGGAAACCATGCTGTGAACAGCCATGGGCGTGACCTGTAAGAACTGGGAATGGTCCTGCCCACAGCAGCTACAGAGCAGCCCTGTCAGTCACGCAGGAAACAAATCCTGCCAATGACTACCTGGGCTTGGAAGACAGCCTTAAGCCTCAGCTGAGATCAAAGCTCTAAGCCGACGCCTCGATTTGAGACTCTGAGTAAAGAGCCTGAAAGTAACATAACTGGACTGTTGAGCGGCAGAACTACTGCAGGATAATAAATGTATGTTGTTTGGAGCTAGGACATTTTCAAGCTAGAATCCATGACTGAGCAGAACACCCTGGAACTCTTCTGTTTCCAGCCTACATCCCCTCCTAGCACAGCCAATTCCTCTTGCATCTTCATTTACCATCTAATGGAGCTCTGAATTCTTCAATGACCTGCAAGACTCTCCCATGCCCTATACACTTTCTGCACACCCCCTCTTCTTAAACGTGGTTGGATCTGTAAATATGATGGGATATCACTCCATGATTAAATGATATTATCTGAGAAAACTGAAAGGATTCTTTTCAGATATAATTAAAGTCCAGAAGCAGCTGACTGAGTTAATCATATAGGAGTTTACCCTGGGTGGGTCTGGCCAAATCAAATGAGTCTAAAGAGATGCTCTCCAGCAGCCCTTGAGGAAACCATGCTGTGAACAGCCATGGGCGTGACCTGTAAGAACTGGGAATGGTCCTGCCCACAGCAGCTACAGAGCAGCCATGTCAGTCACGCAGGAAACAAATCCTGCCAATGACTACCTGAGCTTGGAAGACGGCCGTAAGCCTCAGCTGAGATCAAAGCTCTAAGCCGACGCCTCGATTTGAGACTCTGAGTAAAGAGCCTGAAAGTAACATAACTGGACTGTTGAGCGGCAGAACTACTGCAGGATAATAAATGTATGTTGTTTGGAGCTGCTAAGTTCGTTCGCTAAGCAGAAACAGAAAGTGATGCATAGCCACGGAATGCTGACTCCGACTCCTTTTCCCCCATCAGACCTCTCCTGGGCGCAGAGCTGGTTGGCAGTGTCTGCATCTGGATGTCCTGCAGGCACCCCAAGGCAGCGGCTCTACGAGCTCATCCCTTGCCCCTGCTCCCAAAGCCTGCCGCTCCCAGCTTCCCTGGTTCTGGGATGCTCTCCAGCCCCCACACCAGAATCCAGCCCCGTCTTCAGCAGTCCTCACAGGCTCACTGTACAATCGGTCACCGACTCCAACTGTATTTAGCACATCCCCAGCAGCTACTCCAACCCATGCTCCCCCAGAGGGCCCCCACCACTACCTCAACAGCCTCCTTTATAACTGGTCTGTCCCCCTCCAGCTCTTCCTCCACTGTGGAGAGGGTGATCTTTTTTAAAATAGGCACAGGATGATGCAACTCTTCCAAAATCTTCCGGCACTCCCCATTTCACGTAGGTTCAAGTTCAGGCTCTCTCCGGCTCACTTAGAGATGGGTTTTCTTAAGCACACGGCCACCTGCCAGCTATCATTAGGGTCCAGCATTACTATGGGTTCCTCAAAGATGCCTTTCATGACTTTCCCCACGATAGGATGTCCCCCCTATATTTTCTTCGGTGGCACGTCTCACAGTGTGACGTGATACATACCTTTATGTGTTTATTTGTGAGGTCCTCCCTCTTTNTTCATGACTTTCCCCACGATAGGATGTCCCCCCTATATTTTCTTCGGTGGCACGTCTCACAGTGTGACGTGATACATACCTTTATGTGTTTATTTGTGAGGTCCTCCCTCTTTCCCCATTTCTCTCTAGCAAGATTCATGAGGGCAGTCCCTGATTGGTCTGTTTGCCACTCTATACACTGTCCTTAGCATACAGTCTCAACACCATTAGACACTTAGTAAACATTAACTGATTCAATGAACAGAGAGATAAATGAACCTGACAATCAAAGTCTCTCTTGATCTGAGTCAATTCACCCTTCCCAGCCTTGTTCAAATTATCTTCATTCATACACCTTGTACTCTAGTGACATAGGGCTTGGTGGCTCAGATGGTAAAGAATCTGCCTGCAATGCAAGAGAAATGGGTTCAATCCCTGGGACAGAAAGATCCCCTGGGGAAGGGAATGGCAACGCACTCCAGTATTCCTGCTTGGAGAATCCCATGGACAGTCCGCGGGGTCACAAAGAGTTGGACACAACTGAGCAACTAACACTTTCACTAGTGACATATGACCTGTCGGGTTATCATGCAAATCCTATAGCGTGGGATTCTCACCTCCATTTTATTTATTGGGGAGGGAGGTGGGAGGGGGGATTGGGATGGGGAACACATGTAAATCCATGGCTGATTCATGTCAATGTATGGCAAAAACCACTACAATATTGTAAAGTAATTAGCCTCCAACTAATAAAAATAAATGGGAAAAAAATTTTTTTTTGGCCTCATCATGTGGCATGTGGCATCTTAGTCCCCTGACCTGGGATTGAACCCATGTCCCTTGCAGTGGAAGCTCAGAGTCTTAATCCCTGAACTGTGAGGGAAGTCCCCTCACCTTCATTGTTTAGAAAAAGAGACTGAAACCTGGAAAGTCAACTAACTTGTCCAAGGTCACCTAAACTAACAGCCAGGGCTACTTAAGGTTGTGCATACAAGCATCTCACAATGTGCTGGGCACACAGTTAGCAGTTTCAGCTCTAAATCTGGGAAAGGGTTTTGCAGGGGAGCAGAACCAGGGGAGGAGAACCTCGCCAGCCCACAGGATTGCAGGGGAAAGTGAATGACAGAGTGCTCACACTTGGGAGGGGAGCCAGGAGTCACAATCCCTCAGTGGAAGGAACAGGGGTGGGGGGAATCCTGCTGAGTCTAGGTGAAAAACAAGAAAGCAAGGGAGACTGATTATTCCTCCTTGCCAGTGTAAGCAACTAAAACGACATGTTTGCTTTATCGCCTTCGGTCTCCCATTTGATTTCTGACAGCCGCCTCCCTCCCTTGGACGCCAGGCGGTCAGGTGCTGAGCTGGCTGGCATCACTAAGCAGGAGGAGAACGAAGAACAATTTAAACAGTATTTCAGGGACCGTCATGAGCTTGGGAGGGAGTTTTTGAAGGTGTCTGGCTTCCTCCACGCATTCAAGGAACCCTCGTTTGCCAAGCCCGCTTGATGTCTGCAGCTTGGGGACAGTTAGTCTGGGAGGGACCTTTAAGAGCGAAAACAATGGCAACAAAAAGCCACCGTCTGTTGTCTCTGAGGTTTGAGGGAAGGGAGAGAAGAGAGACATTAGATGGGGGTTTATGAGCCTATAACAATTTCTGAACGCATACTTTCCTCTCACATCNAATGGTCAGTTTAAGTCGTCATTCCTCTTAGAACTGGGAGTCACGTTCCTGGCATGGGAAAAGGGGGATACAATCAGTGGGAGGTAATGCCAGAACAAGAACAGGCATGGAATATGAGCTAACATGTCAGGGGAACTGTACAGTGCTTTTTCTCAAATCTGGCCAAAACTTAGAATTGAAAGAGAATTCTATACCAGATCCCTTGGCCAGATATTCCCACATAATGTGTCTGAGATAAGTATTTAGAACTATTACTATTTTTTTAAGTTTTCCAAGTGATTCTGAGGTTTAATTAGGTCAGAGAACTACCCTGCTCTGACAGCCTTTCTGAACCACACAGCTGAGGACACCTGATCCACTGTCGGCTCTGACCTGACCCAGATCCTAGGACTCAGCGATCCTTCAAGCGGGTAACACCAGAGTCTCCATCCTCCTACGCAGGCCCTAAATATCCAGCCTCCCCAGCTGACCTTGTCTTCTGTTTCTGCAGACATGCTCTGAGTCCAAATTTGCTTTGTCCCAGATCTAGTGCCCCCTCCTCTAGGAAAGATTCTGGATTGCTCAGAATATTTCTAGAAGAAAAGTTTTTGCCCTCTGGTTTGTACAATATTAATAGCTTGTTTCTTACTTATTTAACAATGGGCTCTGAGGAGGAAAGGGAAGCTTGCATTGCACGGCTTGTCAATATGCCCCTGGTACAAATACTTCTTCCACAGTTGCTTATAAGCTACCAATGTGACATCACTCACAGCGGAGCTAGAAATGATGAGTAATACTGGTTCTCACAACTGCTATGGGTTGGAACCAGCACAACACTGGAAGATCTCTTTGTCACGTATTTTTTCCTCCCTGATCAAATACCAGGACCCCCAGCGATGGTGGGGCCCTGGGAGGGTTGGTGCTTATGGTGGCTGCCTCTCCCCCCGCCCCCCCCGCCACCAGATACTGCAGTAACTTCTCAGTGTCCAAGCTACTTCTGACCATCCCTAGTTTTGGTCCTAGTTCCTCCCGGGCTGATGCTCTCTAGAGGGTTGCAAAGTTTACACCAGGATATTCCCAGGGGTCTGATCAGGCTTTCAGGACCAGCACAGACGTGGGAACCTACCCCGTCTCCTTAGTATATAGCTAGCGCTGTGCTATGCACTGCACATGCATCATCTCAATCATATAATGATATGAGCGGATTCTGAGATCAAAGAACTTAATTCCAAATATCAGCTCCCCTTACCTGGTGGTAATCTCAAGTAACCTCTCTAAGTCCCGGTTTCCCTAGCTGAAAAAACAGAGGTAAAAACAATCCCTTCCCGGGAATTGCCCTGGTGGTCCCGTGGTTAGGCTGCACTTCCATTACAGGGGACATGGGTTTGATTCCTGTTTGGGGAACTGAGATCCCACTGGGAGTCTGGTATGACCAAAGGGAAAAAAAAGTCCCTTGGGACTCCCCTGGTGGTCCAGTAGATAAGAACCCTTATCCCCTTGCAACACAGGGGATATGGGTTCGGTCCCTGGTCAAGGAATTAAGATCCCACATGCCCCAGAGCAACTAAGCCCGTTCTCAGAAACTACTGAGCTTCAGGGCTCTAGAGTCCTTCCCCCACAACTAGAGAGCCTGTGTCCACAACGGCAGACCTGACCTGGTGTAGCGAGGACCTGACGAAGCCGAATATACAGACACAATCCCTGCCTGTGGTAGTACTTGGAATTCTATAAGATGGTTCATATAAAGAGCACAGACACGTACAGAGAGAATTCAATTAACCAGGCATGGCTTTGCTTTGCTCCTCCTCTTTCTCCCTCCGTGTGCCTATGTTTCCATCATGACTGGTATTACTGGGAACTTAGAGGGCATCAAGTTCTACCTCATTGATTGACAGATAGGAAGTTGAGGTCTGG